TTCACTTCAAGTTAGGGAAACTATTATTGTAAAGGAAAGGGGGCTTCTCCTTTTTCAAAAAGGCTGTGTAGGTTTGACATATTTCTCTTCTTTCCCAAAGAGGATATTACTTTAATTGCACTAGTCATTTTTCTGGAATACCTAGACTACCTGACAAACTCTGGTGGGATCTGTCTGCATCTAAACTGTTTGGTTGGGTTTGAGTTACTATTACGGAATCTCTCTTTACTTTCAAGCATCCTCTTCCTCTGAAAAGTTGGTCTTTAGTCTCCTTGTCTCTGGGAATGATTAAGACTCTAAATGTAGCGTCCTAGGTCAGTGCTTTCCTCTCACAACTGGTGTATTGGAGAATGTTACCTTTTGTTTGCTTGCCTTTCTGGGGTTTTTTTGGCCCATCCCCTGTTAAGTAAATATGACAGGATACTTTATTTTCACAAGGAATTTCTCAGGTATAAGGAGCAGTGGTGTATTTAAAAAGATTAATTCTCACTTTGCCCTTCAACCCTCTCTCCCAATCCACATGATTCAAAAACCTGAAAAAAATTACTTTCATCCTAGACGCAAATCCAGATCTCCTTCCCCTAGAAGACGATCTTCCCCTGTCAGGAGAGAGAGAAAGCGCAGTCATTCTCGATCTCCCCGTCACAGAACCAAGAGCCGGAGTCCTTCCCCTGCTCCGGAAAAGAAGGAAAAAACTCCAGAGCTCCCAGAACCATCAGTGAAAGTAAAAGAACCTTCAGTACAGGAGGCCACTTCTACTAGGCAAGTATATAAAAATTCATTTATAAATACCACAATTTTAGGCTATTATTGAGTGACTGCCAGTAGAATAACTCTGAGTTACAATATAAAATTACTTCCTTTTTTATATTTCTTAAATCATAAAATCAGCTTGTTGAAAAGATTCCAGTTCTACAGGAGAGTTTAAGTAAAAGGCCCTAAAGGTGACCACTGCTATCGGTTGGTTGTATTGTTTCAGATATTTTATATATTGTAAATTGCTTTTTTCCCAGTACTGTAGACGACTTTGTACTCTTGAAAGTGTATATGGTTAGAATTGTTAGTTGCTCTTTAACTTTCACTGGTGTGTATGTATCTTTTTGGAGCTAAGAAGTCTTCATGGATTTTTTTTTTAAGATTTTATTTATTTATCTGACAGAGACGCAGTGAGAGAGGGAACACAAGCAGGGGGAGCGGGAGAGGGAGAAGCAGGCCTCCCGCCAAGCAGGGAGCCCGATGTGGGGCTCGATCCCAGGACCCTGGGATCATGACCTGAGCCGAAGGCAGACACTTAATGACTCAGCCACCCAGGCACCCTAATCTTCATGGATTTTGAAAACATTTTAGAGAAAAACAACCTTATTACATCATTGTATTATGACTTAGGAGTCTTGAGCTACAGAAGGGGAAAAATAAGCTCTTTGTTTCTACAGTGACATCCTGAAGGTTCCCAAACCTGAACCTGTACCAGAGCCTAAAGAACCTTCTCCAGAGAAAAATTCCAAAAAAGAAAAGGAGAAGGAGAAGACCCGACCAAGATCTCGGTCACGTTCCAAATCAAGATCCCGGACACGGTCTCGCTCTCCTTCTCATACTCGACCTAGACGGCGTCATAGATCCCGATCAAGGTGAGCTGTGGCTTCAAGACCTATGTTGCTCTTGAGTTTTACATGTTACTCTCTGGGTAGAATTAGATAATTTCAGAGCAGCAGAGAGCATTTAGTACAAATGTTACTCTTTGGACTTACAGAGAGAATTTGAGGACACTTTCTGTGCACCATAAAAATATCTACGTAAATGGAAAATTGTATGCCTTGAAGTCCATTTTTAAAATATAGCTGTTGAAAAAAAAATAAAGCTGTTGAGAAAGCTGTGGCAAGGAATTTATTCCTTGCTCTTGTTTATTCAGGCCCTAATTCTGTTTGTTATGGCAGATCATACTCACCTAGAAGGAGGCCAAGTCCGAGAAGGCGGCCATCTCCTCGAAGAAGAACCCCACCAAGACGAATGCCGCCTCCACCCAGGCATAGAAGGAGTAGATCTCCAGTGAGACGGTGAGGGCTTTCTTTTTTCTTGTTTTTTTTTTTCCTTTCCTTTTTTTCCTTTTTTTTTAATTTGTAAGTGTCAGCACATTAAAGTGCACCACATTTGCTTTAGGCTAATGTTTGAATTAGTGTCTCCCTGGAATAAAGACCTCGTGAGTGATAAGTAGGTGATGGCCTTCTAAAGAGCCTCTCCTTTGAGGTTTAATTGCAATGAAAAGCAGTGCTTGTGCAGTGTTGGGGGGAAGACAGATTGACCATTTTACTGATACTTCGAGTTAACTTACCCTTTTAGATCCCAAGATCTCCTAGGGATAAGGGAATTTGCCACCTTCCCTCTTCCTTTGGTTTTTCATTATCACTGGCTTCTGAAAAGCAGATGACCACAGAGCCAGTAAGCTACTTTTACCAATATTAAAATAACCTATTTGCAGTTATATTCTTGTTTTAAATGTTTTTTTCTCATTATAGAAATGAATGTTTATAAAATTTCAAACAAATAACAAAGGGAAAATTACCCATAGTCCCATTCCATGGATATAGCCATTTTTAACAGTTTGATGTCTAGGTATTTTTGAAGAGATTAGACATAAAAGTAACCTTGTCAGTACCAGTGTTCTTTTCTTAAAAATCATTTTAAAATTGGCATGAGGTTAAAATGTTTGGACCTAATCTTTTAACAAAAAGATTGTTGCTAAATCTGTCCAAAGTAGAGGCCTGGTGCACTGGTAGCAGAGTTTGGGGCCTTCTTTACCTCCTTGGAAGGAGCTGTGATTATTGTGCTTCAGATTATACCTAGCACAGAATTTTTTGTTTGAGTCTTTGAGATTTTTGCAGGGATATGAATCTACCTGGAAATAGAGAGGGGAAATACCAAACTCCGTGATTTTTTGTTTCTGCAGTCAGAGTTTTCAAAGTCCCATATTTTTTCAAAAAAAAATATTTGGGGAGGGGGTTGTTGTGAGATATTGAACAATTTTTATGACTACTGCTAAAAATGATAGACTTGATGTTACTATTGACAAATGAGACTAATGGCATAAATGGTCAGTCGATTTAGGCATCACGCTTCTAAAATTGGTTATTCTTTTTTAGGAGAAAAGTAATGCTGGTGCTTTCTAGCACAAGATTAGTGGAAACAGCTATTTCTTATATTGGAGTTTTGCAAACTGTGTTTTAATTGTGCTTACTGAGCCATTTAGCAGTCAAAATATTTTGCAGATTGTGTAAGATTCCCTTTCAGCCAGTTTTTATCTCACACTTAAGGTAGGGTTTCTTTTTTTCAGGTTCTCAGGAATTCTTCCGCCAAAGGTGAATTCTGCAGGTACACATAATTGCAACAAAACTTACCACAAATTTTGCCGCAGAATTCGAGAGGCCCCTGCTTCTAAGTTTATGTAGCTAAATGAATTCCAAACCCAGCTGCACATCTTTTTTTTTTTTAAAGTTGCAACCTAAAGGTTATTGGACATTGTGCTACGAAGTAGAAAATACTTTGCCACCCAAATTTTGTATGCAAACTCCACAAACAGTAATGATTTTCCTAAGGAAGGAAGAGACTGGTTAGTGACCATGTTATAGCACTCAACGTGACATTTTATAACTGGAAAGACCACTCAAACAGAAGCACTTGTCAGAATAAGTTATTCGTATTTAGTCTCAGAACTAGCTGTTTCCTGTCCTAGGTTGTGGTTTTGTTTCCCTTTTTTTTTTTTAACTTATTATGTGCTTAGCTACATAAACTCAAAAGTTGGATAAAAATAGCTATATTTTTGTGTAGACTGTACATACCTGTAAGGTCCCTCTTGACAAAATACGCAGTTAATGAATGCAAATACTTTATTCCACAGAAGAAGGCGTTCATCAGCATCCTTGTCTGGAAGTAGCTCATCATCCTCTTCGTCCCGTTCCCGGTCACCGCCAAAGAAGCCTCCTAAGAGGACATCCAGCCCCCCTCGAAAAACTCGTAGGTTATCTCCTTCAGCAAGTCCGCCCAGGCGAAGGCATAGGCCATCACCTCCAGCAACTCCACCGCCAAAAACTCGTCATTCCCCAACACCCCAGCAGTCAAACCGTACGAGAAAAAGTCGTGTTTCTGTCTCTCCAGGGAGAACTTCAGGTAAAGGTAAAAATCAGACGCATAAAGATAATGTTTGTTCTTCATTTGACTCCAAAGTGCCCAGTCAGTTGCAGCCCCTTCTCCCCCCTCGGTGTGAAGTAGCTGGGTAAAATTTTGTATGTGATATTCTTTGTAAATTTGCTTATCACCTTTTCTGCTCTAAGTTCTTAGGGTTTGTTGCAGTAAAGTTTGCATGTAAATGTGTTTTGTATTTAGCAGTTGCCCTCTGGCATCAAGTAGGTGGAGAAATACCAGCCGCGGGCTGGGTTGGGATAACTTATCAAAGTTTGTGTTGTCATGGTAAGGGATCATTTTATTACTATGAAGACCGATTAACTTTTTTTCCCCTTAAGATTTTTTTGTTTGATATCTTATTTGAGGACTTCATATTCTGTTTTAATTTTTTCTTGGCCACATTGTGCTCCCTAGGGAAGAACATGGTGTCCTCTTAAAAGCTGATTTGTTTATTAATTTAGGCTCTAGGCAGGGTTCTTCTGAGTGTTGTCCTTGGTTTATTCTGCAGATTGATTTCTGAGGAATTTATGTTCTGTGATCGTGCCAGGCAAGTAGAATGCTCTGTTAGTCTGAGCGAAGGTTGTGGTGTATTGGGGTCTGTTCCTTTAGCATAAATACACAAGGAGAAAAGCAGTAGGATCTGTTTGCTTTGGGCTGAGATGATATCCTGAAGGGTGAGTAGTGGGGGAGGGGAAATCCTAAAAGCTGCTATAGTAGTTGGTTTTTGAGAAGCAGTCATAAGTTGATCTATACTGGGCTTGCTCTGATCACATCTAAATTTTTAGGTTAGAAAAAGAAAATGGGGACGGGCAAAATTTTGACTGTTTATTGAGGTTATAGACAAGCCATCAGAGTGACGGGGGACTGGTATATAATGCTGATCTGTAAAGAGTAATGTGTAGATTATTTTCTGAATTTTAACAAATTTGGTGACTATATATTTATGTATTTGGTCATTTTTGTTACTTTGGCTCTTTATACCTAGACAGCTGGATGAGAATAGACATATTTGGGTCTTCCAGGTTCAGACTTAATTTAAGTATGGGAGGGGGCCTTAGGGTCACTTATTTTCATTACCTCATGTCCCATATTACCTTTCGTTCAAAATTAGTACAATTTCAATAGTTTCCAGCCACCTTGTCCAAATCTGATGCCCATTGTCCTAACCAATTTTTTCTTTTTCTGTGAAGTGTTTGTATTTTTGAATATTTTTGTCTCCTTTATCTGGAGCCATAAAGCTCTCTAGTGAAAAAATATTACCCACCTTTTATTTTACAAAAACACATCAAGTTAGGATTTTCCTATTTATATTATAGCCAAAGAGTAATAAAAGTATTTGGATGGGAGGACTGAATCTTTGTTCAAATAGGTTGCTAAGAATTAACTTTTTTCAGAGTCTACCCCTGCACCAACCTCTTGTGTTCTGATACACTGTCAAGGGGAGTGGGCCACTGCTTTAAAAAAAAAAAAAAAAATTAAAGCAGATATGCACATAGGAGAGAAATAAGTCATGGTGGAAGACAAAAGAACTAATTATATTCCTATGGATTCTGGGACAGGTTTTCCATGTCCAAACAAAACACAGCCGAAGAGACGTACTGTAGGCAACATCGTCAGAGACAGCCTTGCCTTGTGTCTTCTGAAGCTGAATTTGGCTCTGACTACTCGGAAATTACATTTTATAGTAAAATGATCCTAGTCTGTGTGATGAAATTTCAGAGGTAGAACAGACTTTAGAGATTGTCATCAAGAAACCGGTTCTCAGGTTAAGTGATTTGGTCAAGTCAACCAGCCAGGACTAAAATTTGGCTTCTCATTTCCCAGTAGAAAAATGTATACTTTGCCCAACTTTCCTATCCCAGAATGTTGTTTTGATGGCTAGAGGTGGGAGATGGAGGGCAGGGTGAAGTTCTTTAGTTTCTATACCTGGTGATGTGATTTCTGAAATTCCTTTTTATGATACTCCATGGCTAATAAGATCAGTGATACCATTGAAGTGTAATAGATTTTACTTGTTTATTTCATGTAGTAGTTACCAGTCAGGACTTTTTAATATTGGGCAAATGGAGTAGGAAGGATTCAGGGAAAGTATTTGAGGGAATTTAGAGGTAAATTGGAGTGTACTGGACATTCTTATCTGCAAGGATCTTCAGGAAGCATTTTTTTTTTTTTAAAGATTTTATTTATTTATTTGAGAGAGAGAGAGAGAGAGAGACAGAAACAGTATGAGAGGGGAGAAGGTCAGAGGGAGAAGCAGGCTCCCCGCCGAGCCGGGAGCCCGATGTGGGACTCGATCCCAGGACTCCAGGATCATGACCTGAGCCGAAGGCAGTCGCTCAACCAACTGAGCCACCCAGGCGCCCTATCCCACTGATTTCAAAGCACTACTTTATGTACTAAGATAATGCCAATTTAACTGACACACCACTGATTACAAAATGCTTCCTGAGGGCGCCTGGGTGGCTCAGTTGGTTGAGCGACTGCCTTCGGCTCAG